TGAATACTGTGATCAATCATATCACACACAAGTGAATACTGTGATCAATCATATCACACACAAGTGAACAGTGTGATTAATCATATCACACACAAGAGAACACTTGATCAATCATATCACAAGTGGACAGTGAGATCAATCATATCACACACAAGTGAATACTGTGATCAATCATATCAGATGAGAACACTGTGGCCAGTCATATCACAAGTGACCACCGTAACCAACATTATTACGTAGATCTTTGACGTGAATCCTCCCTCTCATACATTCTTAAAACTATGCGAATGTAACGTACATTTAACGTGAACACAAAAACACAGTATGCTTGACATATTACAAAGGAGGTTTAAGAGTATTTCTTTTTATGAACTTAATGAAATCTTTGGCATATAACAGTGTTTTTATATCCAGAAGTCAAAATATAGTTTTTTTTCCAAACAACATCGCTAGTTCAACATTTGAGTTGTACTGTGTGCTACTTTTGAGCCTAATGTATAAAAGCAGTTTTTCCATTCGGGAGCACGTTTTACTTTGGAAGTAACGGCGATAAAGTAGGTGAATCCACTCTTTTCATTTTTCCTTATTTGCTTAATCCGATTCTCTCTCGAAAAAAAAAACGCCCCCATTCTGGAAGAGATGGGAAAGGATGACATTTTCAAGACGGCTAGCGCTTTTCTGATGTAAATTCTATTAACTTGGTCGATTTTGAAAGGTTGACGTAGTATCGAAAATATATCCAAAATTAAATCTACGATCCCAGATCTAAGTGAACAAAGAATTTGCTCCAATCTTTGATTTGGTCCATTTAATTTTGCTCCTGGAAGGGTGGATATTAACTTATCCCAATACAATTCTTATTTCATTTACATTAGAAATAATTCCCTTTCTATTTACATTAGGCTGTTTGTCGTAGTCATTTGCCATCACAGACGTGGCCTAGAGGTTAGCGTGACTGCAGGGTTCATGGATTGATCGATCTTTTTGCCGTAAAAAAGCGCTTCGCACTTTAGGGCCGTGGTGTGCTATAAAAGTAACGGTCAAATTCCACTATTTGGTCAAAGAAGAGTAGCCCAAGGGTAGGCGGTTTGTGTTGTTGACTAGCTGTTACCCCCATAATCTATCAGTATAAACTCGGGAACGGCTATGCACAGTTAGTCCTTGCGTATAACTTAACTTGTAATTCTAAAATAATTAATCAATCATAACCAGTTATCAATAAGGAACCTGCACATGACGTTTTATTTAGGTATCAACAAATAAGACATTTACATATGCAAAAATCCAGATGTTGCTGTACTGAGTGGAAAGTTATTTGAATGAGAATTACAAATAATTCTGCAAGTAAACTTTTATGTAATATAAATTTATAGATTTATACCCAATATGAATTTTTTTGCCAATAAAAGACGAACAAATATATTGTTAAACTGACAATACTGTAAAATGTATATATTGACTGATCTAATAAGCACTGAAATCATGGTATGTTTCAAAAATATTTAGTGTCAATTACTTTTCAAAACTCAATGTTCTAAAGTACAGGGAAAGAAATTTTTGAACTGTTATATCAGAAATCTTTAGTTCAACGTAATTGGCAACTAGACAAAGAGTTAATTTTGTAACGTATCGTGTTCCTCTCTTGTGTTCATGTAGTAACTTGTAAATACAGTGGTTTTTATACCAGAAGTGTTACAGGTCCCAAATTTAATAAACGTACGCAAGGTGATAAACCTCCAACATGCTAATAGGATATTAGTTTGTTTTTTTTTTAATTTTAACGTTTGAGCTTTGAAGGTTAGTGTCAGCGCAATGCTGAGCCAGGCTGTTCGTTAATGACGAACTGAAACGTTAGGTGTGTTTCCTAGCCTTATGCTTTTATAATTTCTGTCATTGGTTATTCACATTTGCATAATTATAAAAACAAACCTCTTTAAAGTCCTTTAAAGATCAGATTCTACATTTTATATCCATTATAACATAAAATTACCAGGGATAATCTTTTTTATAGAAATTTTGTAATACCTGATAATTTCATGTTTGCGTGACATTGTTATATTCTAAGTTATAGGATAATATCAACATATAAAATCAAGAAAATCTTGACTACAGCTTGCTACCCTTATTATTCAAGCAATCATGAATGAATCTTGAAAGTTATCTTTCCTTATTGTACTTTCTCTTTGTTTCTACTGTTTGGGTTTAACCTTTAAACAATAAAATCGAAATATTATCTTTTTTAATGAATTCGTGGTTTTATTAGGCTTTTGTTCCTTGTGAAAACAAGAAACGGGTTTTAAACTTTACTGAAATGCTTGGTTTTGTTTTCTACGGCCGTGATGCTATTAAATTGCTGAGGTGTTTTCGACATTCAAGTACCGGTACACATGTCACTAGTTGTGTCAGTAAGAATTAATGGAGAGTTTGTTCTAAACACTGGAGAAGCACTATTTCGTCCTGAGCGTGACGTAAGGGGAGTTATTCACGGCACAAATGACTTAGGTTCGTTTCTTTGCACTTTACCGCTCTTAATGGTCTATTCGAGTATTCCTAGTTGCTATATCTGCTCTCTTCCTGTAACAAGGGAATGCAAACAAGAAGACAGGGCTCTGTGTGCTCCTCGTGGATAGTTGCGCCACTCCGAAGGTTTGGCGCTTCAACATGCTTATTTTCTTTCTATGATTGACACTTAGGCGTTAATGGACATCTAACTTTCTGGTCCTTTTACTATCAGTTAATAAAAGCGTAATTGTTCTTCAACAAAGCAGGCCGTCGTAAACATCCATTGAGCGTGTGCAGAAGCTCAGGAGCGGAGAAACTTAGCATACATTTTAGGGACAAAGAAGGAGTAAAATTCCACAGGCAGAGAGAGGTAAGAACCTCGATTGTACTTAAAGTTCATCATGTTAGGTATGTCATTAAATCACTGTGGTTGTTGCCTCTTCATAGTATCAGTAATAACCTCTTTTCAAATAGAAATTTAAAAAACATTGTACTCACTTTAAGTTCTTTTTAAGCAAGAAATTCCATAGTCCTATAGATGTATTTTTTTTTAAATCACATACCATAGTAACATGCATTATACGTGTGATATTTTAAGAGAAATAAGCATTCAAAGGGTGGTAAAAAATATTGCTGTTTTAATCGTTTGTCAACTTCTTCTTTTCCACTCTTCCAGTATCGAACTCGAAATGTTCAAATGTATCTTAATCGAGATAAAAATACAGTTTATTTAATTTAGAAGTCAGTCTTTCTATATAAAAACGACATGAGTGATACAAAAATGTGGCATTTATTACGAAAAGATTTGAATATTTTCAAACGTAGAAAAGTATTGCACTCGTATATGGACAAGAAATATTAGTTTTCGTGTATAAAATAATTAAGTATATAAATTAGTGTTTTATAAGGTGCAAATTTACATCATCGTGACACTTGTAAAGTTATTGGAGTTAGTGTTATTGCTTAACAAAACAAAAACCAATGGTATTTGATCAAAACACTTTACATGAACAAAACCAGGCGTGTCAGTCAGCCATGTAAAGATATGATATAAAAAAAAAGATTCAAGTGTTGAAGAAGAGCAAGCTGTGTAAAAATATAATACGGGTAAGTTAAACAAGAAAAAACTGGCGAATACTTTGTCTCCTCTTTATTCAACAGGCAGCAACATGAATGGAACACTTGGCTACTCTTGTTTTATGATAGTTTGACATCGTAAACGTTTATCGATGATACATGTATTAAATATCTACTCAGATTTTACTGGTTCTTGTAATAAATAAATAATCGTTATTTTAACCAGAGGAACACTTAACAGAGCACATACCTCCGCTGCGCAGCGTTGATCATTTTCGGCTCTCAAAAAATACGAAAACGTGTCCGTATGTCCGTCGTTATCAGCAAACACGAACCATTTGTGGCAGAACAATGAGGAATAATATTCTATATAACTCTACCAATTTTATCAAAATCCAATCATTTCTGACTGAGTTATAGAGCAAAAATAGTGGGAAAAATCGGTGCCCATTTGAACCGATATAGATTTTTTGGAATTCGTAACCTTGTTGTGAGTTTGACCTTTGACCTTAACTATCCAGAAACTAATATTTACTAAGTTTGGTCATATTCCAAGTGTACACTAACTTTCGTTCAAATCCGTTCAGCCGTTTTGGAGAAATCTTGCTGACAAACACAGAAACACATACACACGAGCGAAAACGTAACCTCCGTCACCGTGATTACTTTTGTAATGCTATTTTATGTTTTTCTACTTTTGGTTAGTCATAATGGATTCTGACTTGGGTTTTGATTTTACTGTTATTTAAGAGTTGGATACCCTTCTTTTTCAGTGACCTACTCAACATAAATTCATGAATTTATTTGATACAATTCTGTCTTGCAATTAATAAGATAATTTATATTTGATTTATTATTTACAAAAGGTGGCGTGTTTATAACTCTATCGGACAATACATAATTATTAATTCTGCAAAAGAATTCCTAGGATAAAGAAATAAAATATCAATGTTAATAACACAGTTTCACTGTTCATGGTCTTTAAGTACTATGCATAAAGGAAAAGAACAGATATTTCACGTGTGTTATGTTTCTATATAAATTGTGTTACAATAAATCACCATTACATTACTAATATAGCAGAAAGATTGTACTAATATCGCAAATATATTTTCAATGAGCCAATTGCATGACACATGTGATTATTAATATCACTGTTCATTTTTGACTACGTTGAGTTTAAGTAAAAAGGATAAAAATATGACTAAGGAAAACGACATCGCTAGTTCAAAACGATAATAGAGATAATTCTAATATAATTGCGAGAAGAAATAAATAACTTAAATTATTGAAGAACTTTAGAAAAGACGATAACGAACACTAAAATGATGTAACCGATACTTCATTCAGTTTTAGTAAAAGCAATAATTTTTAACCCAGTTTCAAATCAGAATAATGTTTTTGTCATGGCTGTATACGAAAACAATCTGACAGAAAGGGACAACCTTATTGCGTCAAAGCTTGTAAAATTCAACGTTAATATAATGAAATTACATATATCAACACAAACTAATATCGGGTACTGCGTAAGTATATGTGTGTGTGTACGTTTGTGTAATATAGCAAATGATTTATAAACATATAAAAATATGCCAACTTGAAATATAGTAATCACTTAAAAGTGGAAATATTCAAACAAATGACGAAATTTTTCAACATTGAGTTTTTAAGCTTCTCTAAATCCTTTACTATATTTCACTCTGGGCATCATTGAGTTCTTACCCACTTTTGAATAATCCTTACTTCTAAATTTGATTAGTTATTGATTCATCTAACAAGTATCACAATATTTTATAGTTTAACATGAAATATGCTTGATACATAATATAATTTAGCGGATGTAGCTGATGGTACATGTTTTGTGAACTTATAATTTACAGATTTAGGAATATAGTTACATATCGTGGTCAGATCTATGTACAAGCTGTCTGAGAACTAGCTCTAAAGCGTATTTTGTAAAATTTTAGGAGGTGTTGAAGTGAAGAAAAATATTGTTTTAAAACGTTTGAACAATTTTGTAAAAACTTAACCTTTAAATATTATCCTCTATGTAATTCCCTCTTATAATTATCATATACTAAATATAATTATGGGAATTTAAGGCATGCGATTTCATATATCATTTTAATGACTTTAGAACCTTTTGCCACACATATAAGAAAATAAATGGTTAATTGAAACGATTATTTTTTAAGCCTAAGACAATTCGAAGTTTTATCGTCATACATATAACAAATCTATTTTTCTTAAATATACAGTTCGTCAAAAAATAAGAAAGTTTAGATATAACATATACATTTATATACATAAAGACTGTTCCATCTAAAAGACAAACCAGTTTATTTTTATGTAACAATTTATGTGAAAATAAACTCTGTCAAATTGATCAATAATTCCATTTTATCGTGACCAGATGTATTTACTACTTTACGTATATTAAGCGATGTATTTTATAAATCAACAACGAAACTCCGTGAAATTGTTAATTATAGTTTAAAATATATTTTTCTCTAGTAAATATTTTCTTTAACCTCTAAAAGTTACAATAACGTTCTTCAAGATTTGCTTAACGAAGCTATTGAAGAAAATAGCAGAGACACTATTGTAGAATAAGAAATTTCAGACGTTATAGAAATATATATTTAAATTTAAATTTTTATTGAAGGGTGCTACATTATAATACATTTGAAGATCTCAAGAAATCACGTTTACATTTCACGTTTTCGTCAATATATGTCGTTATAAAACGTTTCTAGAACAAAACGTCCAATACTCTCGCCTCCGGTGACTTCCGTTCCCACAGCATACGGTAGTTTTCTGAAAAAGACACCAAAAAATTCGTCAGCAAATCCAGTCTTATCAACAAAATTTAACTCGTCACTACAACTAGTAGATTACAGAGTAAAGGTAAGTTTTCATTGCTGTCAGCATTCTTTTAGTTTCTAGTGTTACTGAAGAACAAAATAGGAGAGCTGATGAAAGAGAAATATTTTCTTCAAGCCAGTCTGGACAGTAATAGATGAAGCTTAAGTTGTAAGTGGAGAAAGAGAGAAGAGACTTTCCTCCTAGGATACTAAGACTACATGATAATACATATAAAATCGAAGAGGGTCGACATTTTCGAACTTGATACCCAGTGAATTCTATTAAAGAAGGTCACTTATTATACTTCCAGAGAAGTTGCGTTTGTTACAAACTAATTATACTTTCAGAGAAGTTATGTTTGATACAAACTTATTATACTTCCAGAGAAGTTGTTTGATACAAACTTATTATACTTCCAGAGAAGTTGTGTTTGTTACAAACTTATTATACTTCCAGAGAAGTTATGTTTGATACAAACTTATTATACTTCCCGAAAAGTTATGTTTGATACAAAACTTATTATACTTCCCGACAAGTTATGTTTGATACAAAACTTATTAGACTTCCCGACAAGTTATGTTTGATACAAAACTTATTATACTTCCAGAGAAGTTATGTTTGATACAAACTTATTATACTTCCAGAGAAGTAAGTTTGTAACAAACACAATTATACTTCCAGAGAAGTTATGTTTGATACAAACTTATTATACTTCCAAAGAAGTTGTATGATATAAGCTTATTATACTTCCAGAGAAGTTATGTTTGTTTCAACCTTATTGCCTCAGTATTTTAATACACTTATGCGGTTCTAGAATTCATGTCTTGTATAAGTTATTATCTTCCATCACATACATTGTATATAGATCATAGTGTTCGTTATCTTCTGTATTTATATAAGATAATTTGCCAATAAGCAACAGTTCCAAAGAATAAGAACAATTAAACGTTATATTTCATACGCATATCTAGGAAACATTTGTTTTAGATTAAGAATTAAGAAGAACATATCTAGATATGATGCGAAGAAATATCTTATGGTAAATAGTATGCAAAAATGGTCAGTTTAGCTTAACATCTTTTGTTTGGAAAACTAGTGAATTCAATTTTCTATTGTTTAGTACATAATATTATTCACAGTGGCTAATATATATTTATATACAGAATGTTCCACATTATGCACTGAAGGAATAAAAAATAATGGAGGTGTGAATTACTAAAAATGTCAACACATATTTTACTATGATACGTTCATATGAACAACGAATCTTGATCGTTCTCCAGGTTACGTTTTTAATATGCTGTATTAAAAATGGCTGAATATATCCATACTTATATTCCCATTAATTTTGACTAGAACCAATATGTTCAGAACAGAAGTTATTAAAAAATATTCTAGTAAATGATTGTATTCTTACAACTACCTGAG